GTTGCCCAGGATCTCCCGTTTCTGGCTAAATCTGTGCAATTTAAAAAGATATTAAAAAGGCATTTAGGTTTCCAATGGTGAACATTCTGTGGTATAACATTACAATTTAATGAGGATTACCTTACATTTCTATCTTCATTCATTTCTGTTTAACATTTTTTATGTAACCGTACAATTCCTGGATTGAGATCAGCAATTAAACAATGAGGTTCTTTATAAATTTATTTAAGAATGTGTTGTTTTTTTAATTAATTTAGTCACTGCATGCTTCAGAGCATTCCTTTTGTAAGGATACCATGCTGCTATGTTGGCAGGATGAAAAATGTATTTCAATAAGCAAATAGGCTTCATATAAAATTTATGGCACAAATGAATATTTTGGCTCCATCTGTTCTCAGTCCAGACACTAAGAAATGAGGATTATAGAAGCCTTGCTGGGTCAGATAAGATGAAAAACTCTTAACACTGATAAGCGTGTGAATATTGCACATTTTAAAGATAAAAAATATTTTAAAAAGGCTCGATGGAAAATGTTTGCATCTCTCATTAGTGAAGCAAGTACTCATCTAAATACTAATCTCAAAATCAGGTCCCTCAGATTTCTCTCAAAAACATAATTTGGATAGATAAGAATGAAATATTACACAATGAAACTGCTTTCTGATCTAAGATTGAAGTTGCAGGCATCTTCAAAGAGTTACATACTGTATAAGGAGCATGAAAGCAATTATGTTTCTGTACAAATATAAAAAAGTGAACATAACATTATATGCTGTAAATCGGATTATGTTTCAGGAAAATTTACTTATTTATGTTTTTGTGTTTATTGAAAATGAACTGTGTTGCATGCTGCTTTAAGCAGTAAAACATCTAAGTGTGTAACGAAGTACAGTAGATCCACATTATAACCATATAGAAATATGAGAGAAATTCTAGAAAAAAAGACAGTATCGGCAATTTTTATTGCAATAATGTAGTCAGTAGTAAAGAATTATAAAATATTTATGTTAATTATTGTAATGTTGAAACCAATCAATAAAATAGCATACAAATGAAATAATATACCATAGTCTAATATTAAATACATGCATTTAAGGTTATTCTTGGTGACAATCACTTTAAAAGCACCAAGTACTAGAGTCTTTTCAGAGATACTTAAATTTAGTTCCAAATGCATTTTGAAGGACGTCTGTTATCAGTAAGCTGTTGAGCAAAACAAAGTATACATTTTAAAGAGAATACAAAGAAAGAGTTATTTTATAGAGCTACATAGATTTAGAGTAGCCTTTCATGGAGATGACAGTGTGAGGATTAGGATAGTAAGAACAGTGGGACACAAAGAAGAGCTCAAGCTGTTGAAAAAAGCTCTGTGAAAGCTCTGGTTATCTAAGGCACATGAACTCTTGTATTGAGGCTTATTATTATGTTTCAGAATTCTGATTGATACATAATTCACCCATTCAACATTCTATCTGTTGTTAATGTTCACAAACTCTGCAAACTCTGGACAATAGTACACCTATTAAATTTGTTTGTTTACATTCAACGCTTCCACAAAAGAAATGAATTGTTCCAAATCTGTTCATGAAAGAACAAATAGACACAACCATACTTAATCTGTTACCATGTAGTAATCAAATGTTTAATGCCAGAAACCACTGATCCAAATTTACAAAGGCATACTGAAATTCATTTCAACATTCATATTGAATACACAGAACATAAATATAAGGTACAAAATATGGTGTGACAGAGGAGCCTGTCACGAGGTACAGATAACACGGGAAATACATATTCATACACCTTCCATTGAGCAGTTGCTAGATAAGTTCCTGAGGGTGCACACTCAGGGCTTGAGTAGTAACTGCTACTACTTCATTTCATATACATTCACATACTTAAACACAGGTATGAGTGAGTACTGTGGTGGGAATGGAGAGCGCTCTCAAAACGGATGACACTCACGGTTTGCTTGGTGTCAGTACTTCCAGGGTGGGTCAGCCTATGGTGGCCTCAGAAGGCCAAACCTAACCCCACTTCTCAAGACTTATTTAAGGAGATGGGAAAAACCATGCATTGAATTGGAGAAATGGTTTGTTCCAGAGGGAGAGGGGCTTACAAGTTATTTAAGCTGGCTCCTCAGCCTAAGAGAGGTTGGTTGTTGGTGGTTGGTATGTGAGGTAGTGTGACTGAAAACAGAGAAAGCAATAAGGAGGATTTATCTTCATTTGAAGAATTAGTTTTGTTTCTTTTTGGGGTTTTGTTTTCTGGTGTGGGGGACTGGGAGCACTGTAAATAAACTGCACTTATTTCACTTGAGTGTTTATGCGGTGGAGCCATTCTGTTATAAAACTGACCTACTTTGGCCTTCCTCGGGCCATTGTGTGACATGGTCATGTTGGCTCCTAAAACAAGACCAGAAGTTTTCAAACCACCTTCATATACACTGTAGGGAAGTCTAAGACGTTGGGGGAAAAAAAACACCTACTGATCCTTAATCTGAGCATAAAATTAAAAATTCAATGTTACTTTTCTCACAGGATCTTTACTCATTTCAATCAAAAATTCTCTTTGGTTATAATGGCAGCAGTTTTCAAATTAAAGCTTTTAATCTCTGTGACAGTTGACCACACCTCCCACTGCACTCCCCACTCCCCATTCCCCACTACCACACTGGAGGCTAATCAAGGCTGCGCTTTAAAGATCCCCATGCGCCTGCAGACGGCGTTAAGCGTAGAACCGAATGTGTTCCCCTCACTGGCGACACAGGCATTTATTCCGATCCAGGAAAGGATTCTTTCCTATACCAGAGAACAGAAATATCTGAAGATGACTACACACCGGCACACTGCAAAGAAAACACCAAGTTCTCTGTCGGTGCTCATGCAGCTTCCTATCACATCCCATTTAATTTTTTAATATGATATTAATTCAACTAAAGCTTTCTGTAGGGGGACGAGGTTTGGGGATTGAAAGGTTGTGTTGTGAAACGATTTGCAATAAAAATGTCTTTGTAGTAGGATGTAAATAAAATGTATAGTGTATAAAAGTATCTATAACATTGAACAAGACAGGCAAGTTCTAAAAAATGCAGCAGCCATTATATTCTAGTTCTCTGGTGCTTTTTACAAATTACTATATGAAGGGTGTCATATAACTAGAGCAATTACTGTGGCTTCTCCGGTGGCAGAGAATGAAATAGGAGACGGGCAATTTGATTAAATGAGTTCAGGATTAAATGACTCCTGGTGAATGATAGCATGTCATGGGTTGAGCCAACCGTGGCATTATGACACAATTAAAAAAAAATGCAATTCCATGATATGAAATATGGAGAACTGGCAGGCAGACTGGCATTTGACAAAACAACTAACTGTGACCACGGATTTAATATTTATAACATAATTGTGGCATTTCTTACAAGCTCTTCCATGGATGAATGCCTGTATTTCACATTTCTTTACATGATGGGATTTTCAGTTCTCAATCAAGCATGCAGTTAGTAAAATATAGTGCTGGTGATCCATAATTTTCAAATTTATTCTGCATGTCTACAGCAATGAATAACACCCCGTGATGTATGACAAAGGCACCTCTGACTACAGCCATAGTCTCCTTACATTTTAAGAGGAGAGAGTGTTAAAATGATGGCATACTGTACAAATAGCTATTATTCCAGTTCATGAAATCATGTTTCAGAAACACAACCACAGAATTAAAATAATAAATTTGGACAGGACACTTATTAACCCAAAACATTATAATTAACCCAAATAAACTTTCTGCAAAACAGACAGAAGTGCTTCTTCCATCAGCCACAAATCAGATAGCTGTACCTGAATGATCAATATTAAGCATGCCTACTACTAACTATTAAACAGAAAGATTCAATTCAACTTTATTGTCATTAAACTTACACAGGTGCATAGTATAATGAAAAGTGTTTCTCATTAGTCACTCAGGTGCAGTATATAAATAGGACAGGAGATAAGACAATAGATGGTAACACAATAGCAATAACAGTAACGTAATAACATAACATAAATAACATGTAATCAAGTCATCAAAACTGCAAAATTCCACAAACAGAGAAAATATAACAGGACAAAAACAGTGCAAGGTAATTCTTGGAACAGTGCAAAAATAGTATGGTTAATTAATAAATATTAAATATTATTACAACCGGTACAGTTTTACTAGGCTATCGAGGGGACAGTACAATTTCGGCTTATATGTGTGTGTAGTGGTGTAGGAGTACAGTCATTGTGGGTACAGGAAGACATTAGGAGAGATCATAATATGGTGGGTGGAGTGGGGGCGTCACCAACTTGACAGCTCTCGGGAAGAAGCTATTTTGGAGTCTAGTTGTGTGCGACTGGATTGACCGGAACCTTCTGTCAGATGGTAGGGGAACAAACAAGTTATGACTGGGGTGAGTGGGGTCAGACATAATTTTGGTGGCTTTTTTCAGACTCCAGGTGTTGTATATTTCCTGGATGGATGGTAAGGCACTGCCGATGATGTGTTGGGCAGCTTTGACCACCCGCTGTAGTGCCTTACGGTTGGATGCGGTGCAGTTGCCGTGCCAGACTGTGATACAGCTGGTCAGTATGCTCAGTATGTTCTCAGGAAGTACAGCCGCTGTTGTGCCTTCTTGATGAGACTGGAGGTGTTCAGTGTCCATGAAAGGTCCTTAGAGATGTGAACACCTAGGAATTTGAAGTTATTCACCATCTCCACCGCAGACCCTTCTATGTAGATGGGGAAGTGAACTTTTCCTTGTCTTCTGAAGTCAACAACCAGCTCTTTGGTTTTGCTGATGTTGAGACATAGGTTGTTGGTTCGGCACCAGTCTGCAAGTTGTTTTATCTCCTCCCTGTAGGCTGTCTCATCATTGTCAGTGATCAGGCCCACGACTGTGGTATCGTCAGCATACTTGATGATGGTGTTTGTGCTGAACTTGGCAGTACAGTCGTGGGTGAACTGGGAGTAAAGCAGTGGGCTGAGCACACAGCCTTGAGGGGCACCGGTGTTAAGGGTGAGTGTGTTGGAGGTGAGGTTGCCAATCCTGACAGTCTGGGGTCTGCTGGTGAGGAAGTCTAGGATCCAGCTGCAGAGGGTTGTATCTAAACCTAGATCCCTGAGTTTGGTAGAAAGTTTAATGGGTATGATGGTGTTAAGTGCTGAGCTAAAGTCAATGAACAGCATTCTTGTATAGGTGTTCCTTTTATCCATGTAAATCCAATCTGTAAAACAGGTGGTTATTTTAAGGTAGTTGACACTGGCATGCCTATCAAAGTCACCCCCTAGGTGTGCCATCGTGTTAAGATCTGCTTACTGTTACAGGGAAATAGTGCATGTTGTTAATCCCACATTGATTACAGATGTCTTGAGTAAACCTTGCCATCTGGGGACAAACATTTTGCTGATATATTTCGTAATTCAATTAATGCTGATATCCATGTAATAGATGTCTAAAAGTTTGGCCAACATAATGTTTGAGGTGAGGTTACTATCAACAGCCACGAGCCAACTTCTAAATTTAGCATGTTTGATCTTCTACAGCATTATATTACAGCTGCCTTGCACATATCTCAATAAACATTCCATGATTCCTTTGGTATGCTCGTCTCTGACAGGGCACTATTTTTTGAGTAGTTCTTTTTAGATCATGAACACATCATGGGCTTTGTAATATCTCTTGAATACTATCCATCATTCAAGATCAGGGGCTTAGACGGACAACTGACTTCTCAGCAGGCAAAGAAAATATGGGAAAATCTAGAAATACATATAAAGTACATAAATATTTGAATTATAAGTACCTTGCCATCTATTAAATATATTTACAAAAGACTTTGTTTAAAAGTCTTTACTTCATATGCAAAACAATTGTTTTGAAAGATCGTATGTAACTGACAGACATACAAAATATTAACGTTATCTTGTTCTTTATGAATGTATCAACAGTTTCAACCCTGTCCAAGAGTGGGTCCGGTACTGCTTCAGGTGAGGTGACAGCTGCATCATGGTCTTTTTGTGCCGCAATATATGAGGCTATTGGCCAAAGACACTCAGTTAGGCTTGTCAGTGTTATATCATCTAGGCACAGTGTCCAACAGTGGCCCTGACACCAACTACTGAGGTAGTGACAGGCACAACTGTCTATCTCACATGCACAGAAAGATCCCTGGACCATCCCTTCCCCTGCCTGAGCTCAGCACTCAAGAGAACAGCTACCACACAAGAGCCAGATGAGGACAGACCAGGGCTATCAAGAAAAGAACAGGAAAAAGTAAAATGTAAAAGGAAGCGTGGGTAATTGGGAGAGTACTTGAAAGAGTACTGTGAGAGGCAGGAAAAGAGACAGGAAGAGGCAGAGAAAAGAAATAAAGCCCTGCTCCAAATGTCAGAGGAACAGAAGGGCAGAATGCTGGACCTCATTGGGAAAATGGTGGAGCACATGACAAAAAATAAATTGCTAAATGAAGCAGGCTCATTTTGTGTTCAAATGTCTTTGTTCGTTATTAGTTATTGTGTACATGTTCGATGTTAATATTGTGTTTTTTTGGTTTCACAGTGACCTCATACTTTGTCAAATAGAATGGAAATTTAAAAGCAAACTGTCAAAATTAAGACTTTTATTTTTTGTTCTTTACTTTTTAACTATTTCCAAATGTTACTAACCTGTTTTGAATACCATTATTCTTGTTGGAGTCTATTTTTGCAGACTGTCATTGTCTGCTCTATTTATTGTGTAAATACTGTAAATACAAAGATATACAATATTTATTCAAGATGAGAGATTAATGTTCAATCTTTCATCATTCCAATTTACTAGTTAAGTTCATCTGCTCACTTAAGGTAAATCTTTTGTGGTGGACCGCAAAACATAGCTTCTCACAAATCACTCTTTTATTGAGGTCTGTGCAAAAGTGCAGAGAATTTACAAGCGTAAGTAAAAAAAGCAGATGGCAAAAAAGAAAGTTGAACACATTTTCAAAAATTACCTTGTTGTAGAATTATATAGAATACATGTAAAATAAATGAATTAAGGATGTTTTTGAGACATATATAAATATACATTTATAGAGTATACATACTGTAGATACTCAACAAATGACAAAAAAGGTAAACTTGAAACATTGGTACTACTAGAGAATATTCAGGTGTTTACAATGTATAATCATGCTCCACCAGGTGACCCTGAATGATGGGGGTGACACAACTCTCCTGAGACTGAGAAGCATCATGTAGGCATGAGAGAACAATATCCTCTGGCTCTCACCTTCATGGCTGAGTCAGATATTGTGCAAGAATGCACACGCAGTGATCTCTGGGCAAAATCAGACCTGCACCTCCAAAGTCTTTAAACAGTGTTCTCCTCCACTGAGTTTTTATCATCCTAAATGCCCACTCAAGAATTGTGCAAGCCAATGAATGACAATGACTAAAAATTTATCTTGTATCCTTCTTTGACGGGGCAGCTTGAAGGGTGTAAGGGCTGCCATTTTCTTTCTGTTTGCAGGGATACCCACCATCATGAAGCAGAACAAATCCTGGTGGTGGATACTCAGCATTGACATAAGCTTGGCTGTTCTTAAAAATACGAGTATCATTAACAGAGCCAGAATACCTTACAAAGATGTTGAGGGAACATCCGCTGGAGTCACAGATTGCTTGCGTCTGGATGGAGAAGAATTGTTTGTAACTGAGATAGTCCTCTTTCTTCCTCTTTTGGGGCTTCATGCAAATGTGACATCCATCAATTGCACAAACAGCTTTATTAACTGCTGCATGCAAGCCAGGCATTCAAAACCAAGACCAATGTCATCAAGCTGTCATGCCAAGAATAGTAAATGGCTCTGCTGCCATTGACCTTGTCCTTAATGTTCCATGCAATGTTGTGCAGCACACAACAAACTGTAGAGTGAGGCACAGAGAAAGCCTGTGGTGTAACTCTATTGGAGAATCCATGGGCAAGCCAGTACACAAATATGAGGATTTCCAGGTGATGTCCCAACCTTGGCACTGCTGCCAGTTGGTTATGTCAATCAGGCTTCTCATTGATCTCCTGGTCAGGTGGTAGTCAGGCCAAAGATCCTTCTCTGAATCCAAGAACACCTGAAGTTCAGAAAGGGTTTGATTCAGCCTCGCATACCTCACCATCGGAGAAGCCCGTACAACAATTTAAAAGTTTCGACTGTAAATTGGAAAATGTAAATAATGGATTGTGTCACCCACAATGAACCCCAAACATTTTATCTCAGTTAAATATCATATTAAGCAATCCTACATTTTTCAGTTAATAAACTCCCATGCATTCATTTTTCTTAACTCATTATTTGGCTGTAAATTGCTGTTGATGTTTATCTATTATGAAACTCAATTGTACTCATGAGGTTGCAAGGCGGAGGAGGGAAACACAAACATCGAACCTCTGGCATGAACATCCACCAACTGCTATCCAAAATTAAATAATTCACTAGTAACAAACTAATAGAATGTAATTTCAGAAGTTGTATCAAAATGTTAATTGTCGGTTTTAGCTAGCAACTACTGTAGCTACACTGTTGTTTGCTGGATAAGGCAGCCACCTAAAGGTTGAAAGGGTGACTGGGAAACACACAAAACTAATCTAGCAAACCCAACTACTGAGAGCCAATACAATCAAGTATGTTTCACTTGTTGCTTCATCAACATAACTACTTGAATTAACTAGTAGTAATGGTTCATCAATATTACTTCATGAATGAAGTTTAGATCTTCTTGTCGTCTATGGTCTGAAAAGAATTCTGTGCCAACATGCACTTAGCCACTGGTAAAAAAACAGCACGATAATAGTAACAACAGATAGCATTTTGACCCTGAGCTGTAAATGAATGACATCACAAGAGGGTGTTCCAATGCTTGTTTTCAAATATTTTTATAATGGCAGATGCTTGAATGCTTGCATACTTGAACTCCACACCAGATCCTCCAGTGTAGACCTGGAGGAAGGGCTTAGGGCTTAATGCAGCATTTGGAACATGGCCAATATCTTCACCCCAAATTGAAGCACTCGCAATAATTTAGCACACATGAATGCAGCCAAATACTGGGATCTCAAGGATAACTCTTAAAAACAATGACAATTAAGTAGCCTAAATTTGTTTAAAAAGACCATCCTTATAAGCATTCTATTTCATAACATTAGGCAACTTTTGATAATACACTATAACACTCACACTTTCTGGCTAGCAGTAGGGCTGGCATTGGTTGACCCTGCCTGAACAAGACTTAATTTATCATTGAATGATGTGCAGATGCCCTGTGCAGCAACCCCCTTACTACAAATTCAGAATCTGATTGGACAAGTTTACTGTCATCTGCTTAATACAGTTACATTGTGAGATCCATCTGGAAAGCCACAGAAGATGCACTGTGCAACCGCTAACTAGCTTCTCTTTGTCAGCATTCAAAGATAACATATAGAGTCAATGCTTATATATAGAAAGACTATAAATCCTTTTGACATGAAAACAAGTGATATTAGTTTTGATGTTTGTTCAGGTGGTTGTATTAATGTCTTTATAGCATGTTGGTATTTGTTATTAGATTATTTATTGAATATGACTTAAGATCTTTTTCTTTTTTCTTTTTTTTTCACACCTGATTGCACTGACTTGAATGTGATTGAATAGTTAAAAGTGTAGAATGTGAATCACTTGAAGTTTTGATTAAACTGTACAATGATCTTGAAATATATAATACACAATACTGAAGGGTTTTCCATTTTCCCATTTTTCATATCTACAGTACTTAGTTATTTTATTTTTTCCCCAAAGTGTCATGACTGCAAACTTTAAAGCAACAAAATGGAAATACAGTGTGTGACAGAGGAGCCTGTCATGAGGTACAGGTAGCACAGGAAATGCTCTATTCATACGCTCTCCATTGAGTGGTTGCTAGATAAGTTCCTGGGGGTGCACACTCGGGGCTTGACTAGCAACTGCTATTACATCATTTCAGATACATAAAACATATACTTACACATGGGTATGAATGAGTATTGTGGTGTGAATGGAGAGCGCTCTCAAAATGAATGATAGTCACTCTTTGTTTGCTGTTGGTACTTCCGGGGTAGATCAGCCTATGGTGGCCTCAGAAGGCCTAACCTACAGTAGCCGCAGTTCTAAAGGTTTATTTATGGAGATGGTTAAAACCACATGCATGTGAAGAGGAGAAATGTTATTGCTTGTATTGTTTATTTGAACCTGGATAAAAAGAACTGTGTTATTAAGATATTTGATGATGTTCTTTGGTAAGAAATGAATGAATTATGAATGTATAATGTGTGAAATTATAATTATGAAAATGAGAAAGGGTTTGTTCCAGAGGGGTGAGGGGCTTACATGCTATATAAGCCGACTCCTCAGCCTAAGAGGGAGTTTGTGAGTCAGGTAGTATGACTTAAAACAGAGAGAAGGCAATAAGAAAAAAGAGGGTTTGTCTTTATTTGAAGGACTATTTTTGTTCCTTTTTTGGGGGGGACTGGGAGCACTGTAAATAAACTGCACTTATTTCACTTGAGTGCTTTGTGGCGGAGCCATTCTTTTATAAACCAGACCTACTTTAGGCCATTGTGTGACAGTCTAAGTACTTTGCAAAACACCGTAATTATTTTAGATAAGATGTATCATTTGATTATCTGCAAATGGTTAATTATATACTTACACTTAGTAAAAGAAATATAAAATAGTTTAATTCTTATATCTGTTTATGTTCTGGGTAAGTATGAGCGATGATAATATTGCAGGGATTGAAACAGTTTAAGTAGGAAGCTGCGTCAGCATGTGTAGGCTGCAAAGCAATAGGTATTCCATGCTGAAAGGAAAAGAAAAGAGACACAACTGTAACGGAACAGTTCTTTTTGGACCCTATGCAGACGACACAATCCGGAATAGTGAGGAAACACTGGGGAGAAAAGTCATGCAGGAATCGGGGATCAACACAGGGGGGCGTGTCCTAAGTGTGCTGGTGCACGGGGGAGGTGTGGCCGAGGCAAACAGTCCAGTAGAAATCCAAAGGGGAAATCCAAAACCCGGCGGGGGGAGCAGGAGCAGGAGCAGGAGCAGGAGCCTAAAAACATAATTGAGCCAGGCGCAACCAGGACCCAGGTTTGCACGATGCGGAGGTCAGATGCAGAGAGTGAAATGAAGTGAGTGCCTGGCTTATAAAGGCGAACTGAAACAGGGTGGAAACAAGGAACAGGTGCGGGGAAAGATGCAAACGAGGAAGGGCTGGAGTGCCCTTAAGAGGAGGGGTTTGCAATCATGACAACAACATTACAGCTGTGGAGCCTTCTTTGAGAAGAAGAAAAGAGAGTGAAACTCTTGGTGGGTATAGTATTATGTAAAGGATGTCACAGACTAAGCATATTTTGAAATTAAAACTAAATTTAGCTAAGGAAAGGTACTTATATCAGCAGACAGTGGACAAGTTTATGTTTTAAGCTTAGCCAAGA